TGCTTACTTGGAGAGCCAAGTCAACTTTTAAGCAATTATTTTTACCCCTCCTTTTGCAATCACACATACAACTCTTTCTGGGGCGTATTTAATCTCCCTTTGGGATCAATAAAATATATTTGAATTCGAATTTTGTCTGTGCACTTTTACCCAACTAAAGACTGAGGATTTTTTTTTTTTTTTTTTTTTTGTTCTTTTGCAAAGTAGCTCAAGCAGAGTCGCACTGGACGGAAAGTCAATACACAACAATTTGCGAGTCCTGCCACATATTCTTAATTTAGTTTAAGTCTGGACTAGTCCTCAATATCAATAACATTTGTTCTAAGACTTTAAATTGTACCTCTGGTGTGTTTGGAGTGATTGTCCCGTCGTAAGGTAAATCTCTGCCTCAGTCTACGTGTTTTGCAGCCTCCAACAGCTTTTCTTCTAGGATTGACCTGAGCTTAGCTCCATGATGGCCATGTCTCGGTAGGTTTGTACTTATGCTATGCTCTTCCATTTTCAAGTGAACAATAGTCTGTGAGACATCCAAAGCTAACGACATTGCAATCCTGCTTTAAACCTTTCCACAACCGTATTCCTAACCTTTCAGTTCTAATCCCTAATGTTCATGATGATGTTTGATTATCATTTGTACTGAGATTAATTTAAATGCAGGTAGGGCCTACTAATTAGGTAACTTTTACAGGAGGTTCATTAAGGAGTATCTTAGTAAGGATGGATGAAGTGCAATAGCAAAATTTGAAAATATATCAAAGTTTATGGCTGCAACATGACAAGATGTTGGAAAAGGTATAAATTATTTTGCGACGCTCTAACACTGATAGTCCGGCACAGACCAGACCGTTATCTCTGTATGACTCAGATTATTTAAACAGCAAGGTAGGTACTTAAAAAGTCTGCCTTAATAATGTAAGCGCATAAAATATTTAGCAGTTTCTCATTTAAATATGCTTAATGGCTCTGGTTAATGCTCGTTTGAATTAATTGAAGTAAAAACTGAGCCGACTGTTCGGACGCATGAGAAGTTTTCACCTTCACATTTCTGCTCTTTGGGCTACAGAGCTTTTCATTTCCCCCCAACAGGCCAATGAGTCATAATGCTGGAGACAGAGGCGCATTGGAGAAGATTAAACCTAAATGTGCCACCGTTGAGATTGCCACCTGAGTAGCTGATCGGCTATTGATTTTCCACCGGACGGGGCTTGGAGACTGATGGCGAACGGGACAAAAGGTGGCAGCGAGTCGGTCTTTTCTGCCAGCGGAATGAAAAAGGACCAATTAGAGTGGCTTGTGTCGAGCGGCCGCGCAACCCTGTGCTCCACGCCGCATACCCAACTCGCTACTCCTTCAGGGCCAGGCCTGATGCCTGCCCAGAGCATGTCCTTGGAGCTGACAGGTAAAAGTTATGGCACCCTACGCTGGAGAGGTGTGTAACGCTGATAATGATGAGATTTTTTCCTGCCCATCTTTTGTTAGGAAAGCACCACGGTCTTGTCCCATAAATAAAAGGCAAGTCGCAGTTAATACCGGTGACTGTGTCCATCCTTCCCTGTCTCCTATTATTAGGCCATCTGCATCCATCAATACAGGCGTCCCTCTCAAAGAGGCTGCTGCAGATCCATCAGGCAGAGCGAAGATGGCAGCCATCATTCCCTTAGCCTGCCAATAAACCCTGTTTCGCTTCAGTGAGGTCATAAGGATAGCAGCGGCATGTGTGCCGACACACCTGCTAACAGAGGCAAACACACACATTTGGGATGCTGTGATGTTTTTGTTTTGTAACAGATGACAGCAAGGTTCAGCAGAAAAACACACACACACTATTTTTGTATATCCTCTTGTTTTTTTTTTATTTTTATTTTTTTTATTTGTCAGCAAGCATCTCTGCACAAGTTTTCCTGTCAAAATGGAAACCGGTGTCTCTTGAGTTGGAAAATTGCCTCTTTTTTTGTCCACAAACACACACAGACAGATATTTAGGCTCATATCTCATCTCCTCAAGCATGCGATCAGTCTCTGACGTGTTATTATGAGTGTAAAAACAGAATGAGACGGTGCTGTTGTAGCAGAGGTTATGACTGTTCATGCTTCTTTTTGCACTGTGTTGGTCTCCAGTGTGTCATTAGTATCTTATACCTCACTCTGGACCTCTGTTGGTCTCCTCTCAACACCGTTTACTATATAAGCCAGGTTATTCCTGTTTGTTAATTCATTTATCAAAAGTATCTTTTATACCTGTTGGTTTTCCGGACACTCAATGAGGTTGAGGTCTGGGCTCTTTGGAGACCATTCAGGAAGCTAAATGTAAGCCTTCCAAAGCTGGTTCTCTACTTGAAAAACCCAACTGCACCAAAGTTTCAACTGGCTGAAGCCAAACTGTCACTCTTGCATGGAAAGAAATGTGTTGGGATGTTTAGGAACACTGGAATGCTCGAGACTCGAACCACTCCTAAGATGGTAAATGCTAGAACACCTGTGTTACTGTCCACTGTGAAGCCAGGTTAACAAACGCTCAATGAGAGCGCGCCAAACACAAAGCAAGCCCATACTTCAAAACTGACACTTTCACTCAAAAATTTCAGCTGCAGATATAGAAGCTTTTTGTTCAGAGGTGACAACGTTTGAGCTAAATTGTCAGAACAACAAGAACAAAAGCTTGGACGAGTCAAAAGTCACTTTCAGATCCAAGTTAATTACTGATCATTTTGTTTTTTCACATCATGCAAATTAATTCACCGGGATCACAGGCCAGGTGACCTTTGCAGATCATGCAGCGGGTATCGCAGATGCATTGGAGTGTGACTTCTCACTTGTAGCACTTGCCTGAAGGCTATGAATAAGTTCAGCTTTGTGTCACCTACACACATCAAGAGATTTAAATACAAACAAAGTAGTTGCAGCACCCGTCCTCAACAGGTTGTCACCTGCTTCAGATTCTGCTGAACAATGCATTTCTATGGTCAGATAGACAGTGGTGCATTAAGTAGTATGTCTGCTCATTCAGAGCAAAGGCACATGCAAACTTGTGCTGCTGCTATCATCGTTTTTTCTTTGTACGGTATAACAGAGAAGCCAGTCAGTTAAAACTCAGCACAGTTCAGTTTTCAGAAAGGACTGTGATCTCAAACACAGGTCACAATTTGGGTTTAGAGTGGAAAAAGTTTGAAATGAAATTGACCTCAATTTTATTTTAAAAAATTGTTAAATGTACCTAAATATTAAATCAGGAAATTAACAAATGTACGTACACAAGAGCCTTGCATTTGCAGGAGTTACAATGTATTGTAAGTGCTGGCGCAATGTGGATTGGAGAAAGTCTTATGAATCCTATTCTTTTTCTAAAATAATTGCTGGTAAATAATGCATTATCATTCAACCCCCAAAGAAAGAACTGCTAAAATAAATCTTTTAAAACTTAATATGACTTTCAGGCTTAAGATGAGTCTATACCAAGTTTTGAACGGATCCCAGTAATCCTGTGAGTTCATTATCTCAAATCCCTATAAATAATCAATCCACCATTTAATTCATCAGTTATTTCATGTTCACCTCCACCAGCTTAATAGCTGAAAGTTTTTCACCTTCCAGGAAGGCAGTAGAAAAAAAGGGGCAGACTGCCAAACACCTTTGTTATTAGATGTGTGCTTCTGTGTGGCAGGGGATGGGGATTTGGGGCAACAGGGGCATGTTTGGCTCAGTGCTGTTTGCTGCAGAGCTCTCTGCGGACCTGTCTGGGGTTGACTCTGAGTATTACTGAATCATAGGCAACTCTCAGCCCACTGGGTGAACTCTTCAACTTCGTGCTGAGGGGCCTCCAGAGCTCAAGCTGTGGCTCCGAGATAGCCACTCGTCGTGCACATTAACATACAAGCTGTGGTCGGTGCGGGCGAGGCTGTACTTGGCGGATAAAGTGCTACCTGCCAAGTACACCTCCAACATCTACATCTTCTAACTCTCGCTCTCTGCTTCCCTCCCACCGCCGTCCAGCGTCGTTGCCGTACACGACCTCTCCGACCCACTCGTCGGCTTGCGTCGCCGCACACGAGGTGTTAAGAGGCGGCCGCCGCGCCGGTCGAGGGTCGGGCTTTAATGGGGTCCGGCTTTTCGAAAGCATGCGTGCAAATGGACAACGTCTGCAGCGACGGGGTTCAAAAGTGGCGTCGAATCCGAGCCCATTACAGCAGGGGGATGAAAAGTCGTGGTCAAACAGCCACTTAGCAGTACGGCCTTATGAAGCCTCAGCCTTTTCAAGTCAGCTGCTCTCCCTCTGGAGTTTGCATTTCAGAGGAGCGCTGCAGGAGGTAATTGGCCCGTGACAGAACAAACACATCTGGCTGTGCCGTCACGAGAGCACCCCAGATGGACTGAAGCGCAATTATAGGTGCTGGATTAATTATGAGTTCATATGCCGTTGCTACATTGTTGCTTCGTAGCAACATGAGTGAAGGAAGAATAAAAAACGTGTACACAAACAAAGGAGAGAAACTGTAGAGACAGATGTGCCGAGCATATTGATAACAGTTATTGTAACATCAACGCTGCCTCACTTTGAAGACTAAATAGCACAGTTCTGGCAGAAAGCCAAGGAGATGCATACATATTTGCTGTTTGAGGGCGATGAGGGACTGGCTTTCATATGCCGCCAGAGTCTAATTAAGTCAACACTTACAAATATATACATTTATACATTTATACTATATAATTTACTATATTAAACATTTTTCTCATAAAATTCACAGTTTATGTGTAGATGGAGTACAATTCTTTCAGACGCCAAACTTCTTTCACTGTGATATGGTGCAATTGTCAGAACAGGTGGTAAAACAAGAAGAAAACAATCAATAGGAGACTTAAAAACAAATAATTCATATGTTTAATTTTAAAGGAATTTGGTGAAAATTGCATCACAAGTGAAAATGTGGAATTAAAGTCCAAGCATAAATCCAATTCATGTGGCAAGAGCTCAAAACTCGTGTTCAGATGGAGGTGGTAAAAATACAGTTTCTAAATCTAAATTACATCTGGATAAAAATGTTTTATGAAAACTCTGAAAAGCCTAGCATAATTTCCCTCCCACTTTATGGTTATTTCCGTTTCTCGTTCACACAAAATCCTAAAAAGTACACTGAAGTCTGCAGTTGCAAAGTGACGAACTGTGGGAAAGTTCAAGAGATAACCAGTCTTCCTGGGTATGGTGTATATGCCACGAGAACTTTAAATGAGCAGGTATACCGGAGAAGGATCATTAAGCAGTTTCTTTTAAAGCCACCTGTTCACCAGTGGGGGGGGAAGAATCAAGCTGTTCAAACTGCCAACATGACAAAGGGAAGGGTTATCGAGAGCCGATGTGAGTGCTACTACTTTGGTAGTCGGGTATAAAGGCTCTGTGCTCGCTCAGTGAGCAGTCCTTCAAGTAAAACCTTTTCTTTAAAAGAAAGATCAACAACATATGGAGAAGAAGAACCTCAAAGTCGCCATAAGCATCCAATTTAAATCAACTCTGCTTTTTACCTACAAAAACGTGTCCGTACATTGATTTCTCACAAATGGCCCGGCTGCTTGTTTCATCGCACGTTGCCTCCTCTTGTCCTCAGCAAAAGGGGACAAAAAAAGAAGAGGTTGACCTCTCCTTTTTTCAGCAGCGAACAGCAGAGAAAGATGTGTTTTCTCTCCAGGGAGCTGTCTTTGACTGCGTCTCCTTCGGCTGGCAACATCCAAGCTCTATCTGGTGCGGATGCCATTAAATGAACAGACCATTAAATGAACAGTTGCATTGAGTGTACCGGCATCTGCTCGCTGAGCCGTATTAGACAGCAGCTCGACAGCCTTTGAGCAGCTGCCAAATTCAATTGTGCCGCGTGTAACCTGAAACCCCAAACGGAGGCATTTCCTCGATAAGGCAGGATGTTTTGTGCCTTCCATGAATATATAGTTTACATTTTAAGAAGCTCAATATGCACCTCATTTTCTCTAAATGTGTCCCTCCAGACTGTACGTAGGGAGTGCTAACCCTAAGCAGCCACAAACAGCTTAGAATTGCTTCGACCGCGACACAATTGACCCCCTCAAAAGCTTTTCTGGCAGCAGGGAAACAACCTGAAAATGAAAAACCGCTTATTTAGGACAGCGGAGGGAGGTGGGAGGAGACGGGGGGAAACAAACTGGAGACGATGGGAGAATGGAAGAGAGGAGACTTTGAAAGTTGTTAAAGTTTGGCTGGAGCCTGCATTGTAATCACAGCTCTCCTTTCTTACTGTGGTTGAGCAAAATCAATCCAGTGCGATTTGTGTGCCCGACAGGCTTCTAACAGGAGCAGCCAGCTGGAAAATAGGTCCGCCGTCACCGCGCAACACCTGGCCAGGCCTGACACTCCTCGGGTGCTTCCTTTTTGGAGAGCAACATGTGTGCAGCCACCCACACGCACAGGAACACAGAAACACACACGCAGGTGCCGGCAGCGGCAACCTTTGGCTTTGTAATCTAAGTGGTGATGATGTGGGTGGCCGACGGATCCGCTGATCGTTACACGCAGTGTACCCGGACCGCAGCGGGGTCCACGCCGACTGTGATGTCTGTAGAAGCGGAGACGATTTGGACACAAGCTGGACAATCGTTGCCAACTGGCGACACGATCGCATCCTGTTAAGTTGTACGAAAAGGAAGGACAGATGTAGGTCGCACGTGTCAGGGTTGATGTCTGTGTTGCACGGCTTGATCGATTCCAGCTGGAAGAACGACGCAGAGATCGTTTCAGATTTAGAAATATTATTGTTTTGTTCTCAACGCGCTGAGAAATGGGCTGGTGACCAGCGCTGAAGAGGTTTCAGTTTAAACGAACCATGACTGGTGACCAGTCAGTTGGAAACGCATAATCTAACCAATAGCAACAGACGCATGATATCAATAGATATTATGGTCTGGTAGAATAATTTCACTGAACTGTGATCTAGAACAGCTCTGCATTATGGGGAATGTAGGCAGAGGAAAGTCTTTAGCCGCTCAATCTCACAGCCAGCTAAGCTAGTTTGGTGGCATCAACGGACTCCCTCTCTCTTTGGTTACGTAGCAACCATGTGCCGAGTAACTTGCTCAGCAACAGTGCAACCTCAACATATGAGTTTTGGTCCATATTTTTGTCTGGATTTATGAGCGAAAGTCTGAATTACGAGTTGTGCTTTGGGACATCAGTGCGAGTTGCCGTCTCGTTCAGCCACATAAAGAAAAGGATGATGTTTATCGAACTGAAACAGGAATTCAGTTGGTGGCGGTCCAACCAACCATCAAAAAACCCTAAAAGAAGAAGAAAAGGAAGAAGAACTGAAGCAGGAGGTGATCAAAAAAGATTAGCGGGAGTTATTGAACTGGCAAGGCAGTGTGTGTTTCAATGTGTGCAGGCCTTCCTCCCTCCCATCTCTGGTCTGTTTCCAAGGTAAGAGACCTTAAGAAAACATTTTTCCTTTATTTTATATATTTTATTATGCATGGATAAAGTATACATGTCTGCATTATTTTATACTTTAGTGTCAATTGGGGATGTTTTACTAGGCTGAAACAAATTTAAATTATTTTAGTCATTTTAAATGGGGAAAATGTGTTTGAAATACAAGCACATTTGCTTATGAGCTTGATTTACAGAACAAATTAAACTTGCATCTCGAGGTTCCACTGCACTGGGAGGAACAGAGGTCTCACTCTTGCAGTCCAATGTGCAGTGATGTAGGTAATGCGCCAGTCTATTTCTTTTTTCCTTTTCTTTTAGAAAGCATCAGTGGGTATTTTTAACCTAAATATGCTTACAGTGTTAAATAAAATGAGATAAATCCAGCCGTCCAAACAGAATGTCTGACAGCTGTAATGCCTCTTTGTAATGGAAAAAAAAAATATTACTGATCAATCCGTTTTCAAGACTGGTCCAGAAAGATGACTCAGTCAAACTGCATATGAAAAACCACACTGCAATAAACAAATGAATGCTTGTGGATGGGTTTTCAGTAGTGAGCACTTATTGTGTTGATGGCTTTAATTATGTTTTCCTGGACATTTCCAGGAAGTTAAAACACAATAAGAACATTTTAGCTGAAGCCCTCTGCCAGTTTTTGTTTGTTGTTTTTCTTCCCCTTTATCCCCGCACAAGGTTCATGGGCAGCATCCAATTGCACATCTGACTCCAGCCATGAGAAGGCAATATCTGGCTCGCAATATAATGCATCGCCAGTCCCATCAGAGCCTGCAATGCAGAACGCTAACCACAGCCCAAGCACCTGCCTCCCGAGACAGAACGGCATGCCAGAGGAGAGTCTGGAGACACGATGACACAGAGAGGCAAAGCGGCGGGAAGAGACGAGGGAGGTGTGGGGGTGAGGAGGGGGGGTAAGAAAACAAACAATTAGAAATTGCGAAGCGTGCGCTCGTCATCCCCCCGGCGGGGCTCGGGGTGACTTCAGTTTCAAATTGTTAAAGCGAGACAGATAAATGAAAGAATTCATAAAGAAAAATGTGGATTCCCGCTTCTTTCATGCACATCAAAGGACGCATTTTCGCTCGAGCAGCAGGGGGGTGAAATCGCGCGCGGCGCACTTCGGCGCGCTGGTGCACTTTCATGAGTTCTCCCTTAACATTACAGTCTTTAATGAAGTCAAATTACAGTGGGGCTTCCGAAGGGAAAAGCGCTGCCTGAAACATCATTTATAACTGAAATAACAGGAGACAGAGACTGAATAATGTGTTTATCACAAATAGCTGTTGCTAGCTAAGAAAGCTCTAAATATCATATTAGGGGGTTATTAGGATGCGCCGAAGCTTCATCCATCCTTCTGAAAGCGGTTCGTAAAAACTAAAGAAAACACCGCCAAGATCCAGCCATCTTTGAAACTCTTCTCTCTAACTGGAGGTCTCTGAACTGCGCTTAGCTGCCTTTTGTTAACAAACCGTGTTGTGGAGTTTCCACTTACAGTTCACACCTGGAGCAGAGCGCTACTGGAAACAAAGAGCGGGTTTCTCTTGAGCAGCAGGAGGTAAATAACCGGTTCGCTTTTGTGACTTTCACCTGTACATTACATTTAAAATGTATCAGCAAGACTAATTAAATGTACCAGAACAGATACGCAACATCTAATCTGCATAATAGCCGACTGGAAAAAGGTAAAGTAATGACACTGTTTGATGTAATGACAGATGCTTTTTTTCTTCTGGACTTGTTGCTAGGGAACAATATGAAAGCAGTAAAGGTGAAAGAGTGCAGAGAGAAGTACATAAAAAATAACAGGGCTGTCTTGAGCACTTATTTAAAGTCATTAGCATTCGGTAGATATTAGCAGTGAAAAGCTGTTAGCATGACGCTAGTTTGAAGATTCCCTGTGAAATTACGTTTATACAGCAACAGAAGTCTAGACGATGAGTAGCAGAAATACTCACACCAATTTATCTTAGTCATATTTTGTCCTGTTGTAACCTCAAACTTTAATGCGATTTATTTGTTTTTTGGCTAGACAACCATAGTAGCACTAGCGCTGCACTGATTGTCATTTTCTGGTCGATTATTGATTTTTAAAACGCCTGACCTGCTGATTCAGATTTTGGCGAATACAATTTTCTTTTTGTTGTTGTTTTTGGTATATAAATATAGCAACACAGTCACATACTTTGTCAGGTGACCACTGTAAGCAAATGTGAAAGTCGGTTAATTTGTAAATGGAGTCCTCCAGTATGTAATTTATGCTATTTACACTGATTTGTCTTGACAATGAGTTGGAGTATAACATATAATCCTAATAAAAAACTTTGAAATTTATGGTTTTAACATAGTAGGATGTGAAAAAATACAAGAAGTACAAATATTTCCATTTCATTGTAATGACAGCAGTGCTTATATACCTTTACGGACATTTCTGACTGGTGTAAAAGTCTTGCCTACTATCCTTCAAATTAAGAGTCACATTCCACAGCAGTATAGTAATAGGGATGTCGCGCCTCGTGAGGTTTTATTCTGTATCAAAAGGCCAAAATTGATAAGCTGTGTTTTCTTCACTCATTTATTCAGCCAGACCAGATCAATAACAAAAGAGGAGCTCATTCTTTCCCCTTAAATGACCCAAATCTTCAAAAGCTGTCAGTTTTCCCAACGTTGTGCTTCCCAATCTGTTAACCCTTCTGGTAATTCATCATGTTGTGTATGATTCCATCCCTCTCTTCTGCTGTTTTCCTCAAAATATTTTTTGACAGCAGTTTCACTAGGTTGAACCACGCAACATGCTCGTTTCATTTCAGCATGACACAGATCTGAGCTGCTGTTGTCCAGTCAACGACACACACACACAAAAAATAAATAAAAAAATCCCACAGTACCAGCGAGTAATTCTGGGTTCAGAGAAATCGAACAGATTGCTATTAAATAAATAAAAGAACTGTCCAAACTTTCATACTCCGTGCTTTTATCTGTAATAATTAGCTGCAACACGGAGCCGTCTCAACATCTGCTCAGTCTGGCCAATTTTCAAAGCTCTTATCACCTACCATTTTGTGTTGACAGTGCAGCATGTGGTTAGTTTAACATGAACTTTGGTAAACTTTAAGGCAGATGCTCAACAGATTTGATTCTTTTTTAGGATGTGCAACTCATCTACACAGCAGTGGTGGAAGAAGTCGTTACTGTATCATTTTTTTTAAGGTAATAAACTGATACTTTCTGTAGAGTGCTTAACTTTTCCCAGTTCGATGAGCTCCAACATGTAAAAATGCTTCAAACCACTAACTTTAAGCACTTAGCATGCAACAGCTCCACTCTGCACAATAATTTACAACAGGATTTATGAAAGTGGGAGGAATTCTTTCGATTGGGACTAACTAAGTTTGAGGTTTTACTCACAATACAATTATCATGTATTGTATTATTTTGTCTTGTGACAAAATAATGTGTTGGTACACTTTTACCCATTACATTGATTAAATGCATAACAATAATGAGTTTAGAGTTTAGTGACAAGTGAAGGTCTAATAACTGGTAGTGGTGCTAAAATGAGCTAAATGGTTGGAGAACCCATGGATCCCTTAATGCATGTTATTCAATATCAGTATTCTCATCTATATGAGCAGTGATATTTCGTAGGTAGATAACCTTTTCAATGTCTACTTCACTATTTGTTGATAGCTAGTACCGGATGTTTAGGTCAGTAAAATGGTTTTGTTGCCTACCAAATGACCCCAGAACACCTATGCAAATCCAAGTCAGCCATCATGATATGTTCTGACATCTCCAGAGAGCATGTGTAGCCTAATTTGCAACACGGTGAGGTGACACATGCATGTGTATGTGAGCGAGGAAGGGGGGCCCATGGCGTGGCTCCCGCCCCCGATTCCTCCCTCAGACTCTCCCTCCGTTTCTGTCTCTTGTGATCTCTCTCATCCTCTGTTCCTCCCCTTTAACTTCCCTCTGCCCTTCCCTCCACCTCTGTCATCTCCGGCTCCCCTGAGCCGCCAACCCCCTATTTCTGCTTGTCCCATTTTTTGCGTGAGAAAGGCAGGAGGCGCTGTGAGAAACTCTGATGGTGCTGCTCATGTCAGCTTTGTCAGGCAACAAGACGGAGGGTAAGAACGGCAAAACAACCGCTGAAGACTGCTGTGTTGCAGCCCTCTGATGAATCTGAATTTACATAAATGGCGACATCCGAGAGCATTTACAGCTGCAGTGTGTAACTTTTATGAAAACAGAAAAACATTTTTTGCATGTCTGCTATGAATGTCATCCTGTTATGACAGTATAGTATGAGGCAGATAGTCCATAAAAAGATCGAGCTCCTCTGCCTCCTCTATGAGCTGCTGTTTCTGTCTGGAGAAACTGACCACTCCTGGGCTAAAACAACCAGTCAGAGCCATTGGAGGATCTTAGCACTGTCAGTCATAGGTGTGTATGCGCTGCTAAATGTGTCAATGGAGGAGAAACAATTCAACGTTACAGGAAAGCTGTTTATTCGGCATGCTAACTAGCCTTAGCATTCACGGTAGGCTCTACTGTCGGGAAGAGCCTGGCAGAGAGCAGGGGGTGGGGGGGGGGGAAGGGTGACAAGCATGACTGACGGCACTAAGACCCACCTCCTGGCTCTGATTGGTTGTTCCTAGTTAGCACTGGGTGAAGACGGGGGTGGTTGATTATTTCACAGGTTATCTGTTTTGACTTAGTGATGGTTTTAACAAAAAAAAAAAAAAAAAAAAAAACTAATAAAAGTTGAAAAGTGCAGCTTTAATGCTCCAATAATTAAAAAATAAAAGTTCTACCTCATTAGTAACAGAAAATATCCATATTAGAGATCTGAACATTGT